GAAATCTAATACAAAACTCCAGGCCAGTCCTAGAGGTCGGGTCCGAGTACCTTTGCAATGGCTCGCAAAAACAACGATTCTCAATATATAGCCACCCATATTCCTTCAAAAATTCACAATTCCGGAAACGTCAAATGTTTCCAGTACTAGTACTGCTCTATTGGAAAGTGAGAAATCTAATACAAAACTCCAGGCCAGTCCTAGAGGTCGGGTCCGAGTACCTTTGCAATGGCTCGCAAAAACAACGATTCTCAATATATACAAACCATATTCCTTCAAAAATTCACGATTCCGGAAACGTCAAATGCTTCCAGGACTAGTACTGCTCTATTGGAAAGTGAGAAATCTAATACAAAACTCCAGGCCAGTCCCAGAGGTCGGGTCCGAGTACCTTTGCAATGGCTCGCAAAAACAACGATTCTCAATATATACCCACCCATATTCCTTCAAAACTTCACGATTCCGTAAACGTCAAATGTTTCCAGGACTAGTTCTGCTCTATTGGAAAATGAGAAATCTAATACAAAACTCCAGGCCAGTCCCAGAGGTTGGGTCCGAGTACCTTTGCAATGGCTCGCAAAAACAACGATTCTCAATATATACCCACCCATATTCCTTCAAAACTTCACGATTCCGGAAACGTCAAATGTTTCCAGGACTAGTTCTGCTCTATTGGAAAGTGAGAAATCTAATACAAAACTCCAGGCCAGTCCTAGAGGTCGGGTCCGAGTACCCTTGCAGGCTCGCAAAAACGACGATTCTCAAAATATACCCACCCATATTCCTTCAAAAATTCACCATTCCGGAAACGTCAAATGTTTCCAGGACTAGTTCTGCTTTATTGGAAAGTGAGAAATCTAATACAAAACTCCAGGCCAGTCCCAGAGGTTGGGTCCGAGTACCTTTGCAATGGCTCGCAAAAACAACGATTCTCAATATATACAAACCCATATTCCTTCAAAAATTCACGATTCCGGAAACGTCAAATGTTTCCAGGACTAGTTCTGCTCTATTGGAAAATGAGAAATCTAATACAAAACTCCAGGCCAGTCCTAGAGGTCGGGTCCGAGTACCTTTGCAATGGCTCGCAAAAACAACGATTCTCAATATATAGCCACCCATATTCCTTCAAAAATTCACAATTCCGGAAACGTCAAATGTTTCCAGTACTAGTACTGCTCTATTGGAAAGTGAGAAATCTAATACAAAACTCCAGGCCAGTCCTAGAGGTCGGGTCCGAGTACCTTTGCAATGGCTCGCAAAAACAACGATTCTCAATATATACAAACCCATATTCCTTCAAAAATTCACGATTCCGGAAACGTCAAATGCTTCCAGGACTAGTACTGCTCTATTGGAAAGTGAGAAATCTAATACAAAACTCCAGGCCAGTCCCAGAGGTCGGGTCCGAGTACCTTTGCAATGGCTCGCAAAAACAACGATTCTCAATATATACCCACCCATATTCCTTCAAAACTTCACGATTCCGTAAACGTCAAATGTTTCCAGGACTAGTTCTGCTCTATTGGAAAATGAGAAATCTAATACAAAACTCCAGGCCAGTCCCAGAGGTTGGGTCCGAGTACCTTTGCAATGGCTCGCAAAAACAACGATTCTCAATATATACCCACCCATATTCCTTCAAAACTTCACGATTCCGGAAACGTCAAATGTTTCCAGGACTAGTTCTGCTCTATTGGAAAGTGAGAAATCTAATACAAAACTCCAGGCCAGTCCTAGAGGTCGGGTCCGAGTACCCTTGCAGGCTCGCAAAAACGACGATTCTCAAAATATACCCACCCATATTCCTTCAAAAATTCACCATTCCGGAAACGTCAAATGTTTCCAGGACTAGTTCTGCTTTATTGGAAAGTGAGAAATCTAATACAAAACTCCAGGCCAGTCCCAGAGGTTGGGTCCGAGTACCTTTGCAATGGCTCGCAAAAACAACGATTCTCAATATATACCCACCCATATTCCTTCAAAAATTCACAATTCCGGAAACGTCAAATGTTTCCAGTACTAGTACTGCTCTATTGGAAAGTGAGAAATCTAATACAAAACTCCAGGCCAGTCCCAGAGGTCGGGTCCGAGTACCTTTGCAATGGCTCGCAAAAACAACGATTCTCAATATATACCCACCCATATTCCTTCAAAACTTCACGATTCCGTAAACGTCAAATGTTTCCAGGACTAGTTCTGCTCTATTGGAAAATGAGAAATCTAATACAAAACTCCAGGCCAGTCCCAGAGGTTGGGTCCGAGTACCTTTGCAATGGCTCGCAAAAACAACGATTCTCAATATATACCCACCCATATTCCTTCAAAAGTTCACGATTCCGGGAACGTCAAATGTTTCCAGGACTAGTACTGCTCTATTGGAAAGTGAGAAATCTAATACAAAACTCCAGGCCAGTCCCAGAGGTCGGGTCCGAGTACCTTTGCAATGGCTCGCAAAAACAACGATTCTCAATATATACCCACCCATATTCCTTCAAAACTTCACGATTCCGTAAACGTCAAATGTTTCCAGGACTAGTTCTGCTCTATTGGAAAATGAGAAATCTAATACAAAACTCCAGGCCAGTCCCAGAGGTTGGGTCCGAGTACCTTTGCAATGGCTCGCAAAAACAACGATTCTCAATATATACCCACCCATATTCCTTCAAAACTTCACGATTCCGGAAACGTCAAATGTTTCCAGGACTAGTTCTGCTCTATTGGAAAGTGAGAAATCTAATACAAAACTCCAGGCCAGTCCTAGAGGTCGGGTCCGAGTACCCTTGCAGGCTCGCAAAAACGACGATTCTCAAAATATACCCACCCATATTCCTTCAAAAATTCACCATTCCGGAAACGTCAAATGTTTCCAGGACTAGTTCTGCTTTATTGGAAAGTGAGAAATCTAATACAAAACTCCAGGCCAGTCCCAGAGGTTGGGTCCGAGTACCTTTGCAATGGCTCGCAAAAACAACGATTCTCAATATATACCCACCCATATTCCTTCAAAAATTCACAATTCCGGAAACGTCAAATGTTTCCAGTACTAGTACTGCTCTATTGGAAAGTGAGAAATCTAATACAAAACTCCAGGCCAGTCCCAGAGGTTGGGTCCGAGTACCTTTGCAATGGCTCGCAAAAACAACGATTCACAATATATACCCACCCATATTCCTTCAAAAATTCACGATTCCGGAAACGTCAAATGCTTCCAGGACAAGTACTGCTCTATTGGAAAGTGAGAAATCTAATACAAAACTCCAGGCCAGTCCCAGAGGTCGGGTCCGAGTACCTTTGCAATGGCTCGCAAAAACAACGATTCTCAATATATACCCACCCATATTCCTTCAAAACTTCACGATTCCGTAAACGTCAAATGTTTCCAGGACTAGTTCTGCTCTATTGGAAAATGAGAAATCTAATACAAAACTCCAGGCCAGTCCCAGAGGTTGGGTCCGAGTACCTTTGCAATGGCTCGCAAAAACAACGATTCTCAATATATACCCACCCATATTCCTTCAAAAGTTCACGATTCCGGGAACGTCAAATGTTTCCAGGACTAGTACTGCTCTATTGGAAAGTGAGAAATCTAATACAAAACTCCAGGCCAGTCCCAGAGGTTGGGTCCGAGTACCTTTGCAATGGCTCGCAAAAACAACGATTCTCAATATATACCCACCCATATTCCTTCAAAAATTCACGATTCCGGGAACGTCAAATGTTTCCAGGACTAGTACTGCTCTATTGGAAAGTGAGAAATCTAATACAAACTCCAGGCCAGTCCTAGAGGTCGGGTCCGAGTACCCTTGCAGGCTCGCAAAAACAACGATTCTCAAAATATACCCACCCATATTCCTTCAAAAATTCACCATTCCGGAAACTTCAAATGTTTCCAGGACTAGTACTGCTCTATTGGAAAATGAGGAATCTAATACAAAACTCCAGGCCAGTCCTAGAGGTCGGGTCCGAGTACCCTTGCAGGCTCGCAAAAACAACGATTCTCAAAATATACCCACCCATATTCCTTCAAAAATTCACAATTCCGGAAACGTCAAATGTTTCCAGTACTAGTACTGCTCTATTGGAAAGTGAGAAATCTAATACAAAACTCCAGGCCAGTCCTAGAGGTCGGGTCCGAGTACCTTTGCAATGGCTCGCAAAAACAACGATTCTCAATATATACCCGCCCATATTCCTTCAAAAATTCACGATTCCGGAAACGTCAAATGCTTCCAGGACTAGTACTGCTCTATTGGAAAGTGAGAAATCTAATACAAAACTCCAGGCCAGTCCTAGAGGACGGGTCCGAGTACCCTTGCAGGCTCGCAAAAACAACGATTCTCAAAATATACCCACCCATATTCCTTCAAAACTTCACGATTCCGTAAACGTCAAATGTTTCCAAGACTAGTTCTGCTCTATTGGAAAATGAGAAATCTAATACAAAACTCCAGGCCAGTCCCAGAGGTTGGGTCCGAGTACCTTTGCAATGGCTCGCAAAAACAACGATTCTCAATATATACCCACCCATATTCCTTCAAAACTTCACGATTCCGGAAACGTCAAATGTTTCCAGGACTAGTTCTGCTCTATTGGAAAGTGAGAAATCTAATACAAAACTCCAGGCCAGTCCTAGAGGTCGGGTCCGAGTACCCTTGCAGGCTCGCAAAAACGACGATTCTCAAAATATACCCACCCATATTCCTTCAAAAATTCACCATTCCGGAAACGTCAAATGTTTCCAGGACTAGTTCTGCTTTATTGGAAAGTGAGAAATCTAATACAAAACTCCAGGCCAGTCCCAGAGGTTGGGTCCGAGTACCTTTGCAATGGCTCGCAAAAACAACGATTCTCAATATATACCCACCCATATTCCTTCAAAAATTCACAATTCCGGAAACGTCAAATGTTTCCAGTACTAGTACTGCTCTATTGGAAAGTGAGAAATCTAATACAAAACTCCAGGCCAGTCCCAGAGGTTGGGTCCGAGTACCTTTGCAATGGCTCGCAAAAACAACGATTCACAATATATACCCACCCATATTCCTTCAAAAATTCACGATTCCGGAAACGTCAAATGCTTCCAGGACAAGTACTGCTCTATTGGAAAGTGAGAAATCTAATACAAAACTCCAGGCCAGTCCCAGAGGTCGGGTCCGAGTACCTTTGCAATGGCTCGCAAAAACAACGATTCTCAATATATACCCACCCATATTCCTTCAAAACTTCACGATTCCGTAAACGTCAAATGTTTCCAGGACTAGTTCTGCTCTATTGGAAAATGAGAAATCTAATACAAAACTCCAGGCCAGTCCCAGAGGTTGGGTCCGAGTACCTTTGCAATGGCTCGCAAAAACAACGATTCTCAATATATACCCACCCATATTCCTTCAAAAGTTCACGATTCCGGGAACGTCAAATGTTTCCAGGACTAGTACTGCTCTATTGGAAAGTGAGAAATCTAATACAAAACTCCAGGCCAGTCCCAGAGGTTGGGTCCGAGTACCTTTGCAATGGCTCGCAAAAACAACGATTCTCAATATATACCCACCCATATTCCTTCAAAAATTCACGATTCCGGGAACGTCAAATGTTTCCAGGACTAGTACTGCTCTATTGGAAAGTGAGAAATCTAATACAAACTCCAGGCCAGTCCTAGAGGTCGGGTCCGAGTACCCTTGCAGGCTCGCAAAAACAACGATTCTCAAAATATACCCACCCATATTCCTTCAAAAATTCACCATTCCGGAAACTTCAAATGTTTCCAGGACTAGTACTGCTCTATTGGAAAATGAGGAATCTAATACAAAACTCCAGGCCAGTCCTAGAGGTCGGGTCCGAGTACCCTTGCAGGCTCGCAAAAACAACGATTCTCAAAATATACCCACCCATATTCCTTCAAAAATTCACAATTCCGGAAACGTCAAATGTTTCCAGTACTAGTACTGCTCTATTGGAAAGTGAGAAATCTAATACAAAACTCCAGGCCAGTCCTAGAGGTCGGGTCCGAGTACCTTTGCAATGGCTCGCAAAAACAACGATTCTCAATATATACCCGCCCATATTCCTTCAAAAATTCACGATTCCGGAAACGTCAAATGCTTCCAGGACTAGTACTGCTCTATTGGAAAGTGAGAAATCTAATACAAAACTCCAGGCCAGTCCTAGAGGACGGGTCCGAGTACCCTTGCAGGCTCGCAAAAACAACGATTCTCAAAATATACCCACCCATATTCCTTCAAAACTTCACGATTCCGTAAACGTCAAATGTTTCCAAGACTAGTTCTGCTCTATTGGAAAATGAGAAATCTAATACAAAACTCCAGGCCAGTCCCAGAGGTTGGGTCCGAGTACCTTTGCAATGGCTCGCAAAAACAACGATTCTCAATATATACCCACCCATATTCCTTCAAAACTTCACGATTCCGGAAACGTCAAATGTTTCCAGGACTAGTTCTGCTCTATTGGAAAGTGAGAAATCTAATACAAAACTCCAGGCCAGTCCCAGAGGTTGGGTCCGAGTACCTTTGCAATGGCTCGCAAAAACAACGATTCTCAATATATACCCACCCATATTCCTTCAAAAATTCACGATTCCGGAAACGTCAAATGTTTCCAGGACTAGTACTGCTCTATTGGAAAGTGAGAAATCTAATACAAAACTCCAGGCCAGTCCTAGAGGTCGGGTCCGAGTACCCTTGCAGGCTCGCAAAAACAACGATTCTCAAAATATACCCACCCATATTCCTTCAAAACTTCACGATTCCGTAAACGTCAAATGTTTCCAGGACTAGTTCTGCTCTATTGGAAAATGAGAAATCTAATACAAAACTCCAGGCCAGTCCCAGAGGTTGGGTCCGAGTACCCTTGCAGGCTCGCAAAAACAACGATTCTCAAAATATACCCACCCATATTCCTTCAAAAATTCACAATTCCGGAAACGTCAAATGTTTCCAGTACTAGTACTGCTCTATTGGAAAGTGAGAAATCTAATACAAAACTCCAGGCCAGTCCTAGAGGTCGGGTCCGAGTACCTTTGCAATGGCTCGCAAAAACAACGATTCTCAATATATACCCGCCCATATTCCTTCAAAAATTCACGATTCCGGAAACGTCAAATGCTTCCAGGACTAGTACTGCTCTATTGGAAAGTGAGAAATCTAATACAAAACTCCAGGCCAGTCCTAGAGGTCGGGTCCGAGTACCCTTGCAGGCTCGCAAAAACAACGATTCTCAAAATATACCCACCCATATTCCTTCAAAACTTCACGATTCCGTAAACGTCAAATGTTTCCAAGACTAGTTCTGCTCTATTGGAAAATGAGAAATCTAATACAAAACTCCAGGCCAGTCCCAGAGGTTGGGTCCGAGTACCTTTGCAATGGCTCGCAAAAACAACGATTCTCAATATATACCCACCCATATTCCTTCAAAACTTCACGATTCCGGAAACGTCAAATGTTTCCAGGACTAGTTCTGCTCTATTGGAAAGTGAGAAATCTAATACAAAACTCCAGGCCAGTCCCAGAGGTTGGGTCCGAGTACCTTTGCAATGGCTCGCAAAAACAACGATTCTCAATATATACCCACCCATATTCCTTCAAAAAATCATGATTCCGGAAACGTCAAATGCTTCCAGGACTAGTACTGCTCTACTGGAAAGTGAGAAATCTAATACAAAACTCCAGGCCAGTCCCAGAGGTCGGGTCCGAGTACCTTTGCAATGGCTCGCAAAAACAACGATTCTCAATATATACCCACCCATATTCCTTCAAAACTTCACGATTCCGTAAACGTCAAATGTTTCCAGGACTAGTTCTGCTCTATTGGAAAATGAGAAATCTAATACAAAACTCCAGGCCAGTCCCAGAGGTTGGGTCCGAGTACCTTTGCAATGGCTCGCAAAAACTACGATTCTCAATATATACCCACCCATATTCCTTCAAAACTTCACGATTCCGGAAACGTCAAATGTTTCCAGGACTAGTTCTGCTCTATTGGAAAGTGAGAAATCTAATACAAAACTCCAGGCCAGTCCCAGAGGTTGGGTCCGAGTACCTTTGCAATGGCTCGCAAAAACAACGATTCTCAATATATACCCACCCATATTCCTTCAAAACTTCACGATTCCGTAAACGTCAAATGTTTCCAGGACTAGTTCTGCTCTATTGGAAAATGAGAAATCTAATACAAAACTCCAGGCCAGTCCCAGAGGTTGGGTCCGAGTACCTTTGCAATGGCTCGCAAAAACAACGATTCTCAATATATACCCACCCATGTTCCTTCAAAACTTCACGATTCCGGAAACGTCAAATGTTTCCAGGACTAGTTCTGCTCTATTGGAAAGTGAGAAATCTAATACAAAACTCCAGGCCAGTCCCAGAGGTTGGGTCCGAGTACCTTTGCAATGGCTCGCAAAAACAACGATTCTCAATATATACCCACCCATATTCCTTCAAAAATTCACGATTCCGGAAACGTCAAATGTTTCCAGGACTAGTACTGCTCTATTGGAAAGTGAGAAATCTAATACAAAACTCCAGGCCAGTCCTAGAGGTCGGGTCCGAGTACCCTTGCAGGCTCGCAAAAACAACGATTCTCAAAATATACCCACCCATATTCCTTCAAAACTTCACGATTCCGTAAACGTCAAATGTTTCCAGGACTAGTTCTGCTCTATTGGAAAATGAGAAATCTAATACAAAACTCCAGGCCAGTCCCAGAGGTTGGGTCCGAGTACCCTTGCAGGCTCGCAAAAACAACGATTCTCAAAATATACCCACCCATATTCCTTCAAAAATTCACAATTCCGGAAACGTCAAATGTTTCCAGTACTAGTACTGCTCTATTGGAAAGTGAAAAATCTAATACAAAACTCCAGGCCAGTCCTAGAGGTCGGGTCCGAGTACCTTTGCAATGGCTCGCAAAAACAACGATTCTCAATATATACCCGCCCATATTCCTTCAAAAATTCACGATTCCGGAAACGTCAAATGCTTCCAGGACTAGTACTGCTCTATTGGAAAGTGAGAAATCTAATACAAAACTCCAGGCCAGTCCTAGAGGTCGGGTCCGAGTACCCTTGCAGGCTCGCAAAAACAACGATTCTCAAAATATACCCACCCATATTCCTTCAAAACTTCACGATTCCGTAAACGTCAAATGTTTCCAAGACTAGTTCTGCTCTATTGGAAAATGAGAAATCTAATACAAAACTCCAGGCCAGTCCCAGAGGTTGGGTCCGAGTACCTTTGCAATGGCTCGCAAAAACAACGATTCTCAATATATACCCACCCATATTCCTTCAAAACTTCACGATTCCGGAAACGTCAAATGTTTCCAGGACTAGTTCTGCTCTATTGGAAAGTGAGAAATCTAATACAAAACTCCAGGCCAGTCCCAGAGGTTGGGTCCGAGTACCTTTGCAATGGCTCGCAAAAACAACGATTCTCAATATATACCCACCCATATTCCTTCAAAAATTCATGATTCCGGAAACGTCAAATGCTTCCAGGACTAGTACTGCTCTACTGGAAAGTGAGAAATCTAATACAAAACTCCAGGCCAGTCCCAGAGGTCGGGTCCGAGTACCTTTGCAATGGCTCGCAAAAACAACGATTCTCAATATATACCCACCCATATTCCTTCAAAACTTCACGATTCCGTAAACGTCAAATGTTTCCAGGACTAGTTCTGCTCTATTGGAAAATGAGAAATCTAATACAAAACTCCAGGCCAGTCCCAGAGGTTGGGTCCGAGTACCTTTGCAATGGCTCGCAAAAACTACGATTCTCAATATATACCCACCCATATTCCTTCAAAACTTCACGATTCCGGAAACGTCAAATGTTTCCAGGACTAGTTCTGCTCTATTGGAAAGTGAGAAATCTAATACAAAACTCCAGGCCAGTCCCAGAGGTTGGGTCCGAGTACCTTTGCAATGGCTCGCAAAAACAACGATTCTCAATATATACCCACCCATATTCCTTCAAAACTTCACGATTCCGTAAACGTCAAATGTTTCCAGGACTAGTTCTGCTCTATTGGAAAATGAGAAATCTAATACAAAACTCCAGGCCAGTCCCAGAGGTTGGGTCCGAGTACCTTTGCAATGGCTCGCAAAAACAACGATTCTCAATATATACCCACCCATGTTCCTTCAAAACTTCACGATTCCGGAAACGTCAAATGTTTCCAGGACTAGTTCTGCTCTATTGGAAAGTGAGAAATCTAATACAAAACTCCAGGCCAGTCCCAGAGGTCGGGTCCGAGTACCTTTGCAATGGCTCGCAAAAACAACGATTCTCAATATATACCCACCCATATTCCTTCAAAACTTCACGATTCCGTAAACGTCAAATGTTTCCAGGACTAGTTCTGCTCTATTGGAAAATGAGAAATCTAATACAAAACTCCAGGCCAGTCCCAGAGGCTGGGTCCGAGTACCTTTGCAATGGCTCGCAAAAACAACGATTCTCAATATATACCCACCCATATTCCTTCAAAACTTCACGATTCCGGAAACGTCAAATGTTTCCAGGACTAGTTCTGCTCTATTGGAAAGTGAGAAATCTAATACAAAACTCCAGGCCAGTCCCAGAGGTTGGGTCCGAGTACCTTTGCAATGGCTCGCAAAAACAACGATTCTCAATATATACCCACCCATATTCCTTCAAAACTTCACGATTCCGTAAACGTCAAATGTTTCCAGGACTAGTTCTGCTCTATTGGAAAATGAGAAATCTAATACAAAACTCCAGGCCAGTCCTAGAGGTTGGGTCCGAGTACCTTTGCAATGGCTCGCAAAAACAACGATTCTCAATATATACCCACCCATATTCCTTCAAAACTTCACGATTCCGGAAACGTCAAATGTTTCCAGGACTAGTTCTGCTCTATTGGAAAGTGAGAAATCTAATACAAAACTCCAGGCCAGTCCCAGAGGTTGGGTCCGAGTACCTTTGCAATGGCTCGCAAAAACAACGATTCTCAATATATACCCACCCATATTCCTTCAAAAATTCACGATTCCGGGAACGTCAAATGTTTCCAGGACTAGTACTGCTCTATTGGAAAGTGAGAAATCTAATACAAAACTCCAGGCCAGTCCTAGAGGTCGGGTCCGAGTACCTTTGCAATGGCTCGCAAAAACAACGATTCTCAATATATACCCACCCATATTCCTTCAAAAATTCACGATTCCGGAAACGTCAAATGCTTCCAGGACTAGTACTGCTCTATTGGAAAGTGAGAAATCTAATACAAAACTCCAGGCCAGTCCTAGAGGTCGGGTCCGAGTACCTTTGCAATGGCTCGCAAAAACAACGATTCTCAATATATACCCACCCATATTCCTTCAAAAATTCATGATTCCGGAAACGTCAAATGCTTCCAGGACTAGTACTGCTCTACTGGAAAGTGAGAAATCTAATACAAAACTCCAGGCCAGTCCTAGAGGTCGGGTCCGAGTACCTTTGCAATGGCTCGCAAAAACAACGATTCTCAATATATACCCACCCATATTCCTTCAAAAATTCACGATTCCGGAAACGTCAAATGCTTCCAGGACTAGTACTGCTCTATTGGAAAGTGAGAAATCTAATACAAAACTCCAGGCCAGTCCTAGAGGTCGGGACCGAGTACCTTTGCAATGGCTCGCAAAAACAACGATTCTCAATATATACCCACCCATATTCCTTCAAAAATTCATGATTCCGGAAACGTCAAATGCTTCCAGGACTAGTACTGCTCTACTGGAAAGTGAGAAATCTAATACAAAACTCCAGGCCAGTCCCAGAGGTCGGGTCCGAGTACCTTTGCAATGGCTCGCAAAAACAACGATTCTCAATATATACCCACCCATATTCCTTCAAAAATTCACGATTCCGGAAACGTCAAATGCTTCCAGGACTAGTACTGCTCTATTGGAAAGTGAGAAATCTAATACAAAACTCCAGGCCAGTCCTAGAGGTCGGGACCGAGTACCTTTGCAATGGCTCGCAAAAACAACGATTCTCAATATATACCCACCCATATTCCTTCAAAAATTCATGATTCCGGAAACGTCAAATGCTTCCAGGACTAGTACTGCTCTACTGGAAAGTGAGAAATCTAATACAAAACTCCAGGCCAGTCCCAGAGGTCGGGTCCGAGTACCTTTGCAATGGCTCGCAAAAACAACGATTCTCAATATATACCCACCCATATTCCTTCAAAACTTCACGATTCCGTAAACGTCAAATGTTTCCAGGACTAGTTCTGCTCTATTGGAAAATGAGAAATCTAATACAAAACTCCAGGCCAGTCCCAGAGGTTGGGTCCGAGTACCTTTGCAATGGCTCGCAAAAACAACGATTCTCAATATATACCCACCCATATTCCTTCAAAACTTCACGATTCCGGAAACGTCAAATGTTTCCAGGACTAGTTCTGCTCTATTGGAAAGTGAGAAATCTAATACAAAACTCCAGGCCAGTCCCAGAGGTTGGGTCCGAGTACCTTTGCAATGGCTCGCAAAAACAACGATTCTCAATATATACCCACCCATATTCCTTCAAAAATTCACGATTCCGGGAACGTCAAATGTTTTCAGGACTAGTACTGCTCTATTGGAAAGTGAGAAATCTAATACAAAACTCCAGGCCAGTCCTAGAGGTCGGGTCCGAGTACCTTTGCAATGGCTCGCAAAAACAACGATTCTCAATATATACCCACCCATATTCCTTCAAAAATTCACGATTCCGGAAACGTCAAATGCTTCCAGGACTAGTACTGCTCTATTGGAAAGTGAGAAATCTAATACAAAACTCCAGGCCAGTCCTAGAGGTCGGGTCCGAGTACCTTTGCAATGGCTCGCAAAAACAACGATTCTCAATATATACCCACCCATATTCCTTCAAAAATTCATGATTCCGGAAACGTCAAATGCTTCCAGGACTAGTACTGCTCTACTGGAAAGTGAGAAATCTAATACAAAACTCCAGGCCAGTCCCAGAGGCTGGGTCCGAGTACCTTTGCAATGGCTCGCAAAAACAACGATTCTCAATATATACCCACCCATATTCCTTCAAAACTTCACGATTCCGGAAACGTCAAATGTTTCCAGGACTAGTTCTGCTCTATTGGAAAGTGAGAAATCTAATACAAAACTCCAGGCCAGTCCCAGAGGTTGGGTCCGAGTACCTTTGCAATGGCTCGCAAAAACAACGATTCTCAATATATACCCACCCATATTCCTTCAAAACTTCACGATTCCGGAAACGTCAAATGTTTCCAGGACTAGTTCTGCTCTATTGGAAAGTGAGAAATCTAATACAAAACTCCAGGCCAGTCCCAGAGGTTGGGTCCGAGTACCTTTGCAATGGCTCGCAAAAACAACGATTCTCAATATATACCCACCCATATTCCTTCAAAAATTCACGATTCCGGGAACGTCAAATGTTTCCAGGACTAGTACTGCTCTATTGGAAAGTGAGAAATCTAATACAAAACTCCAGGCCAGTCCTAGAGGTCGGGTCCGAGTACCTTTGCAATGGCTCGCAAAAACAACGATTCTCAATATATACCCACCCATATTCCTTCAAAAATTCACGATTCCGGGAACGTCAAATGTTTCCAGGACTAGTACTGCTCTATTGGAAAGTGAGAAATCTAATACAAAACTCCAGGCCAGTCCTAGAGGTCGGGTCCGAGTACCTTTGCAATGGCTCGCAAAAACAACGATTCTCAATATATACCCACCCATATTCCTTCAAAAATTCATGATTCCGGAAACGTCAAATGCTTCCAGGACTAGTACTGCTCTACTGGAAAGTGAGAAATCTAATACAAAACTCCAGGCCAGTCCTAGAGGTCGGGTCCGAGTACCTTTGCAATGGCTCGCAAAAACAACGATTCTCAATATATACCCACCCATATTCCTTCAAAAATTCACGATTCCGGAAACGTCAAATGCTTCCAGGACTAGTACTGCTCTATTGGAAAGTGAGAAATCTAATACAAAACTCCAGGCCAGTCCTAGAGGTCGGGACCGAGTACCTTTGCAATGGCTCGCAAAAACAACGATTCTCAATAAATACCCACCCGTATTCCTTCAAAAATTCATGACTCCGGAAACGTCAAATGCTTCCAGGACTAGTACTGCTCTACTGGAAAGTGAGAAATCTAATACAAAACTCCAGGCCAGTCCTAGAGGTCGGGACCGAGTACCTTTGCAATGGCTCGCAAAAACAACGATTCTCAATATATACCCACCCATATTCCTTCAAAACTTCACGATTCCGTAAACGTCAAATGTTTCCAGGACTAGTTCTGCTCTATTGGAAAATGAGAAATCTAATACAAAACTCCAGGCCAGTCCCAGAGGCTGGGTCCGAGTACCTTTGCAATGGCTCGCAAAAACAACGATTCTCAATATATACCCACCCATATTCCTTCAAAACTTCACGATTCCGGAAACGTCAAATGTTTCCAGGACTAGTTCTGCTCTATTGGAAAGTGAGAAATCTAATACAAAACTCCAGGCCAGTCCCAGAGGTTGGGTCCGAGTACCTTTGCAATGGCTCGCAAAAACAACGATTCTCAATATATACCCACCCATATTCCTTCAAAACTTCACGATTCCGGAAACGTCAAATGTTTCCAGGACTAGTTCTGCTCTATTGGAAAGTGAGAAATCTAATACAAAACTCCAGGCCAGTCCCAGAGGTTGGGTCCGAGTACCTTTGCAATGGCTCGCAAAAACAACGATTCTCAATATATACCCACCCATATTCCTTCAAAAATTCACGATTCCGGGAACGTCAAATGTTTCCAGGACTAGTACTGCTCTATTGGAAAGTGAGAAATCTAATACAAAACTCCAGGCCAGTCCTAGAGGTCGGGTCCGAGTACCTTTGCAATGGCTCGCAAAAACAACGATTTTCAATATATACCCACCCATATTCCTTCAAAAATTCACGATTCCGGAAACGTCAAATGCTTCCAGGACTAGTACTGCTCTATTGGAAAGTGAGAAATCTAATACAAAACTCCAGGCCAGTCCTAGAGGTCGGGTCCGAGTACCTTTGCAATGGCTCGCAAAAACAACGATTCTCAATATATACCCACCCATATTCCTTCAAAAATTCATGATTCCGGAAACGTCAAATGCTTCCAGGACTAGTACTGCTCTACTGGAAAGTGAGAAATCTAATACAAAACTCCAGGCCAGTCCTAGAGGTCGGGTCCGAGTACCTTTGCAATGGCTCGCAAAAACAACGATTCTCAATATATACCCACCCATATTCCTTCAAAAATTCACGATTCCGGAAACGTCAAATGCTTCCAGGACTAGTACTGCTCTATTGGAAAGTGAGAAATCTAATACAAAACTCCAGGCCAGTCCTAGAGGTCGGGACCGAGTACCTTTGCAATGGCTCGCAAAAACAACGATTCTCAATATATACCCACCCATATTCCTTCAAAAATTCATGATTCCGGAAACGTCAAATGCTTCCAGGACTAGTACTGCTCTACTGGAAAGTGAGAAATCTAATACAAAACTCCAGGCCAGTCCCAGAGGTTGGGTCCGAGTACCTTTGCAATGGCTCGCAAAAACAACGATTCTCAATATATACCCACCCATATTCCTTCAAAAATTCACGATTCCGGGAACGTCAAATGTTTTCAGGACTAGTACTGCTCTATTGGAAAGTGAGAAATCTAATACAAAACTCCAGGCCAGTCCTAGAGGTCGGGTCCGAGTACCTTTGCAATGGCTCGCAAAAACAACGATTCTCAATATATACCCACCCATATTCCTTCAAAAATTCACGATTCCGGAAACGTCAAATGCTTCCAGGACTAGTACTGCTCTATTGGAAAGTGAGAAATCTAATACAAAACTCCAGGCCAGTCCTAGAGGTCGGGTCCGAGTACCTTTGCAATGGCTCGCAAAAACAACGATTCTCAATATATACCCACCCATATTCCTTCAAAAATTCATGATTCCGGAAACGTCAAATGCTTCCAGGACTAGTACTGCTCTACTGGAAAGTGAGAAATCTAATACAAAACTCCAGGCCAGTCCTAGAGGTCGGGTCCGAGTACCTTTGCAATGGCTCGCAAAAACAACGATTCTCAATATATACCCACCCATATTCCTTCAAAAATTCACGATTCCGGAAACGTCAAATGCTTCCAGGACTAGTACTGCTCTATTGGAAAGTGAGAAATCTAATACAAAACTCCAGGCCAGTCCTAGAGGTCGGGACCGAGTACCTTTGCAATGGCTCGCAAAAACAACGATTCTCAATAAATACCCACCCGTATTCCTTCAAAAATTCATGATTCCGGAAACGTCAAATGCTTCCAGGACTAGTACTGCTCTACTGGAAAGTGAGAAATCTAATACAAAACTCCAGGCCAGTCCCAGAGGTCGGGTCCGAGTACCTTTGCAATGGCTCGCAAAAACAACGATTCTCAATATATACCCACCCATATTCCTTCAAAACTTCACGATTCCGTAAACGTCAAATGTTTCCAGGACTAGTTCTGCTCTATTGGAAAATGAGAAATCTAATACAAAACTCCAGGCCAGTCCCAGAGGTTGGGTCCGAGTACCTTTGCAATGGCTCGCAAAAACAACGATTCTCAATATATACCCACCCATATTCCTTCAAAACTTCACGATTCCGGAAACGTCAAATGTTTCCAGGACTAGTTCTGCTCTATTGGAAAATGAGAAATCTAATACAAAACTCCAGGCCAGTCCCAGAGGTCGGGTCCGAGTACCTTTGCAATGGCTCGCAAAAACAACGATTCTCAATATATACCCACCCATATTCCTTCAAAACTTCACGATTCCGTAAACGTCAAATGTTTCCAGGACTAGTTCTGCTCTATTGGAAAATGAGAAATCTAATACAAAACTCCAGGCCAGTCCCAGAGGTTGGGTCCGAGTACCTTTGCAATGGCTCGCAAAAACAACGATTCTCAATATATACCCACCCATATTCCTTCAAAACTTCACGATTCCGGAAACGTCAAATGTTTCCAGGACTAGTTCTGCTCTATTGGAAAGTGAGATATCTAATACAAAACTCCAGGCCAGTCCCAGAGGTTGGGTCCGAGTACCTTTGCAATGGCTCGCAAAAACAACGATTCTCAATATATACCCACCCATATTCCTTCAAAAATTCACGATTCCGGGAACGTCAAATGTTTTCAGGACTAGTACTGCTCTATTGGAAAGTGAGAAATCTAATACAAAACTCCAGGCCAGTCCTAGAGGTCGGGTCCGAGTACCTTTGCAATGGCTCGCAAAAACAACGATTCTCAATATATACCCACCCATATTCCTTCAAAACTTCACGATTCCGTAAACGTCAAATGTTTCCAGGACTAGTTCTGCTCTATTGGAAAATGAGAAATCTAATACAAAACTCCAGGCCAGTCCCAGAGGCTGGGTCCGAGTACCTTTGCAATGGCTCGCAAAAACAACGATTCTCAATATATACCCACCCATATTCCTTCAAAACTTCACGATTCCGGAAACGTCAAATGTTTCCAGGACTAGTTCTGCTCTATTGGAAAGTGAGAAATCTAATACAAAACTCCAGGCCAGTCCCAGAGGTTGGGTCCGAGTACCTTTGCAATGGCTCGCAAAAACAACGATTCTCAATATATACCCACCCATATTCCTTCAAAACTTCACGATTCCGTAAACGTCAAATGTTTCCAGGACTAGTTCTGCTCTATTGGAAAATGAGAAATCTAATACAAAACTCCAGGCCAGTCCCAGAGGTTGGGTCCGAGTACCTTTGCAATGGCTCGCAAAAACAACGATTCTCAATATATACCCACCCATATTCCTTCAAAACTTCACGATTCCGGAAACGTCAAATGTTTCCAGGACTAGTTCTGCTCTATTGGAAAGTGAGAAATCTAATACAAAACTCCAGGCCAGTCCCAGAGGTTGGGTCCGAGTACCTTTGCAATGGCTCGCAAAAACAACGATTCTCAATATATACCCACCCATATTCCTTCAAAAATTCACGATTCCGGGAACGTCAAATGTTTCCAGGACTAGTACTGCTCTATTGGAAAGTGAGAAATCTAATACAAAACTCCAGGCCAGTCCTAGAGGTCGGGTCCGAGTACCTTTGCAATGGCTCGCAAAAACAACGATTCTCAATATATACCCACCCATATTCCTTCAAAAATTCACGATTCCGGAAACGTCAAATGCTTCCAGGACTAGTACTGCTCTATTGGAAAGTGAGAAATCTAATACAAAACTCCAGGCCAGTCCTAGAGGTCGGGTCCGAGTACCTTTGCAATGGCTCGCAAAAACAACGATTCTCAATATATACCCACCCATATTCCTTCAAAAATTCATGATTCCGGAAACGTCAAATGCTTCCAGGACTAGTACTGCTCTACTGGAAAGTGAGAAATCTAATACAAAACTCCAGGCCAGTCCTAGAGGTCGGGTCCGAGTACCTTTGCAATGGCTCGCAAAAACAACGATTCTCAATATATACCCACCCATATTCCTTCAAAAATTCACGATTCCGGAAACGTCAAATGTTTCCAGGACTAGTTCTGCTCTATTGGAAAGTGAGAAATCTAATACAAAACTCCAGGCCAGTCCCAGAGGTTGGGTCCGAGTACCTTTGCAATGGCTCGCAAAAACAACGATTCTCAATATATACCCACCCATATTCCTTCAAAAATTCACGATTCCGGGAACGTCAAATGTTTCCAGGACTAGTACTGCTCTATTGGAAAGTGAGAAATCTAATACAAAACTCCAGGCCAGTCCTAGAGGTTGGGTCCGAGTACCTTTGCAATGGCTCGCAAAAACAACGATTCTCAATATATACCCACCCATATTCCTTCAAAACTTCACGATTCCGGAAACGTCAAATGTTTCCAGGACTAGTTCTGCTCTATTGGAAAGTGAGATATCTAATACAAAACTCCAGGCCAGTCCCAGAGGTTGGGTCCGAGTACCTTTGCAATGGCTCGCAAAAACAACGATTCTCAATATATACCCACCCATATTCCTTCAAAAATTCACGATTCCGGGAACGTCAAATGTTTTCAGGACTAGTACTGCTCTATTGGAAAGTGAGAAATCTAATACAAAACTCCAGGCCAGTCCTAGAGGTCGGGTCCGAGTACCTTTGCAATGGCTCGCAAAAACAACGATTCTCAATATATACCCACCCATATTCCTTCAAAACTTCACGATTCCGTAAACGTCAAATGTTTCCAGGACTAGTTCTGCTCTATTGGAAAATGAGAAATCTAATACAAAACTCCAGGCCAGTCCCAGAGGCTGGGTCCGAGTACCTTTGCAATGGCTCGCAAAAACAACGATTCTCAATATATACCCACCCATATTCCTTCAAAACTTCACGATTCCGGAAACGTCAAATGTTTCCAGGACTAGTTCTGCTCTATTGGAAAGTGAGAAATCTAATACAAAACTCCAGGCCAGTCCCAGAGGTTGGGTCCGAGTACCTTTGCAATGGCTCGCAAAAACAACGATTCTCAATATATACCCACCCATATTCCTTCAAAACTTCACGATTCCGTAAACGTCAAATGTTTCCAGGACTAGTTCTGCTCTATTGGAAAATGAGAAATCTAATACAAAACTCCAGGCCAGTCCCAGAGGTTGGGTCCGAGTACCTTTGCAATGGCTCGCAAAAACAACGATTCTCAATATATACCCACCCATATTCCTTCAAAACTTCACGATTCCGGAAACGTCAAATGTTTCCAGGACTAGTTCTGCTCTATTGGAAAGTGAGAAATCTAATACAAAACTCCAGGCCAGTCCCAGAGGTTGGGTCCGAGTACCTTTGCAATGGCTCGCAAAAACAACGATTCTCAATATATACCCACCCATATTCCTTCAAAAATTCACGATTCCGGGAACGTCAAATGTTTCCAGGACTAGTACTGCTCTATTGGAAAGTGAGAAATCTAATACAAAACTCCAGGCCAGTCCTAGAGGTCGGGTCCGAGTACCTTTGCAATGGCTCGCAAAAACAACGATTCTCAATATATACCCACCCATATTCCTTCAAAAATTCACGATTCCGGAAACGTCAAATGCTTCCAGGACTAGTACTGCTCTATTGGAAAGTGAGAAATCTAATACAAAACTCCAGGCCAGTCCTAGAGGTCGGGTCCGAGTACCTTTGCAATGGCTCGCAAAAACAACGATTCTCAATATATACCCACCCATATTCCTTCAAAAATTCATGATTCCGGAAACGTCAAATGCTTCCAGGACTAGTACTGCTCTACTGGAAAGTGAGAAATCTAATACAAAACTCCAGGCCAGTCCTAGAGGTCGGGTCCGAGTACCTTTGCAATGGCTCGCAAAAACAACGATTCTCAATATATACCCACCCATATTCCTTCAAAAATTCACGATTCCGGAAACGTCAAATGTTTCCAGGACTAGTTCTGCTCTATTGGAAAGTGAGAAATCTAATACAAAACTCCAGGCCAGTCCCAGAGGTTGGGTCCGAGTACCTTTGCAATGGCTCGCAAAAACAACGATTCTCAATATATACCCACCCATATTCCTTCAAAAATTCACGATTCCGGGAACGTCAAATGTTTCCAGGACTAGTACTGCTCTATTGGAAAGTGAGAAATCTAATACAAAACTCCAGGCCAGTCCTAGAGGTCGGGTCCGAGTACCTTTGCAATGGCTCGCAAAAACAACGATTCTCAATATATACCCACCCATATTCCTTCAAAAATTCACGATTCCGGAAACGTCAAATGCTTCCAGGACTAGTACTGCTCTATTGGAAAGTGAGAAATCTAATACAAAACTCCAGGCCAGTCCTAGAGGTCGGGTCCGAGTACCTTTGCAATGGCTCGCAAAAACAACGATTCTCAATATATACCCACCCATATTCCTTCAAAAATTCATGATTCCGGAAACGTCAAATGCTTCCAGGACTAGTACTGCTCTACTGGAAAGTGAGAAATCTAATACAAAACTCCAGGCCAGTCCTAGAGGTCGGGTCCGAGTACCTTTGCAATGGCTCGCAAAAACAACGATTCTCAATATATACCCACCCATATTCCTTCAAAAATTCACGATTCCGGAAACGTCAAATGCTTCCAGGACTAGTACTGCTCTATTGGAAAGTGAGAAATCTAATACAAAACTCCAGGCCAGTCCTAGAGGTCGGGACCGAGTACCTTTGCAATGGCTCGCAAAAACAACGATTCTCAATATATACCCACCCATATTCCTTCAAAAATTCATGATTCCGGAAACGTCAAATGCTTCCAGGACTAGTACTGCTCTACTGGAAAGTGAGAAATCTAATACAAAACTCCAGGCCAGTCCCAGAGGTCGGGTCCGAGTACCTTTGCAATGGCTCGCAAAAACAACGATTCTCAATATATACCCACCCATATTCCTTCAAAACTTCACGATTCCGTAAACGTCAAATGTTTCCAGGACTAGTTCTGCTCTATTGGAAAATGAGAAATCTAATACAAAACTCCAGGCCAGTCCCAGAGGTTGGGTCCGAGTACCTTTGCAATGGCTCGCAAAAACAACGATTCTCAATATATACCCACCCATATTCCTTCAAAACTTCACGATTCCGGAAACGTCAAATGTTTCCAGGACTAGTTCTGCTCTATTGGAAAGTGAGAAATCTAATACAAAACTCCAGGCCAGTCCCAGAGGTTGGGTCCGAGTACCTTTGCAATGGCTCGCAAAAACAACGATTCTCAATATATACCCACCCATATTCCTTCAAAAATTCACGATTCCGGGAACGTCAAATGTTTTCAGGACTAGTACTGCTCTATTGGAAAGTGAGAAATCTAATACAAAACTCCAGGCCAGTCCTAGAGGTCGGGTCCGAGTACCTTTGCAATGGCTCGCAAAAACAACGATTCTCAATATATACCCACCCATATTCCTTCAAAAATTCACGATTCCGGAAACGTCAAATGCTTCCAGGACTAGTACTGCTCTATTGGAAAGTGAGAAATCTAATACAAAACTCCAGGCCAGTCCTAGAGGTCGGGTCCGAGTACCTTTGCAATGGCTCGCAAAAACAACGATTCTCAATATATACCCACCCATATTCCTTCAAAAATTCATGATTCCGGAAACGTCAAATGCTTCCAGGACTAGTACTGCTCTACTGGAAAGTGAGAAATCTAATACAAAACTCCAGGCCAGTCCTAGAGGTCGGGTCCGAGTACCTTTGCAATGGCTCGCAAAAACAACGATTCTCAATATATACCCACCCATATTCCTTCAAAAATTCACGATTCCGGAAACGTCAAATGCTTCCAGGACTAGTACTGCTCTATTGGAAAGTGAGAAATCTAATACAAAACTCCAGGCCAGTCCTAGAGGTCGGGACCGAGTACCTTTGCAATGGCTCGCAAAAACAACGATTCTCAATAAATACCCACCCGTATTCCTTCAAAAATTCATGATTCCGGAAACGTCAAATGCTTCCAGGACTAGTACTGCTCTACTGGAAAGTGAGAAATCTAATACAAAACTCCAGGCCAGTCCCAGAGGTCGGGTCCGAGTACCTTTGCAATGGCTCGCAAAAACAACGATTCTCAATATATACCCACCCATATTCCTTCAAAACTTCACGATTCCGTAAACGTCAAATGTTTCCAGGACTAGTTCTGCTCTATTGGAAAATGAGAAATCTAATACAAAACTCCAGGCCAGTCCCAGAGGTTGGGTCCGAGTACCTTTGCAATGGCTCGCAAAAACAACGATTCTCAATATATACCCACCCATATTCCTTCAAAACTTCACGATTCCGGAAACGTCAAATGTTTCCAGGACTAGTTCTGCTCTATTGGAAAGTGAGAAATCTAATACAAAACTCCAGGCCAGTCCCAGAGGTTGGGTCCGAGTACCTTTGCAATGGCTCGCAAAAACAACGATTCTCAATATATACCTACCCATATTCCTTCAAAAATTCACAATTCCGGAAACGTCAAATGTTTCCAGTACTAGTACTGCTCTATTGGAAAGTGAGAAATCTAATACAAAACTCCAGGCCAGTCCTAGAGGTCGGGTCCGAGTACCTTTGCAATGGCTCGCAAAAACAACGATTCTCAATATATACCCACCCATATTCCTTCAAAACTTCACGATTCCGTAAACGTCAAATGTTTCCAGGACTAGTTCTGCTCTATTGGAAAATGAGAAATCTAATACAAAACTCCAGGCCAGTCCCAGAGGTTGGGTCCGAGTACCTTTGCAATGGCTCGCAAAAACAACGATTCTCAATATATACCCACCCATATTCCTTCAAAACTTCACGATTCCGGAAACGTCAAATGTTTCCAGGACTAGTTCTGCTCTATTGGAAAGTGAGAAATCTAATACAAAACTCCAGGCCAGTCCCAGAGGTTGGGTCCGAGTACCTTTGCAATGGCTCGCAAAAACAACGATTCTCAATATATACCCACCCATATTCCTTCAAAACTTCACGATTCCGGAAACGTCAAATGTTTCCAGGACTAGTTCTGCTCTATTGGAAAGTGAGAAATCTAATACAAAACTCCAGGCCAGTCCCAGAGGTTGGGTCCGAGTACCTTTGCAATGGCTCGCAAAAACAACGATTCTCAATATATACCCACCCATATTCCTTCAAAAATTCACGATTCCGGGAACGTCAAATGTTTCCAGGACTAGTACTGCTCTATTGGAAAGTGAGAAATCTAATACAAAACTCCAGGCCAGTCCTAGAGGTCGGGTCCGAGTACCTTTGCAATGGCTCGCAAAAACAACGATTCTCAATATATACCCACCCATATTCCTTCAAAAATTCACGATTCCGGAAACGTCAAATGCTTCCAGGACTAGTACTGCTCTATTGGAAAGTGAGAAATCTAATACAAAACTCCAGGCCAGTCCTAGAGGTCGGGTCCGAGTACCTTTGCAATGGCTCGCAAAAACAACGATTCTCAATATATACCCACCCATATTCCTTCAAAAATTCATGATTCCGGAAACGTCAAATGCTTCCAGGACTAGTACTGCTCTACTGGAAAGTGAGAAATCTAATACAAAACTCCAGGCCAGTCCTAGAGGTCGGGTCCGAGTACCTTTGCAATGGCTCGCAAAAACAACGATTCTCAATATATACCCACCCATATTCCTTCAAAAATTCACGATTCCGGAAACGTCAAATGCTTCCAGGACTAGTACTGCTCTATTGGAAAGTGAGAAATCTAATACAAAACTCCAGGCCAGTCCTAGAGGTCGGGACCGAGTACCTTTGCAATGGCTCGCAAAAACAACGATTCTCAATAAATACCCACCCATATTCCTTCAAAAATTCATGATTCCGGAAACGTCAAATGCTTCCAGGACTAGTACTGCTCTACTGGAAAGTGAGAAATCTAATACAAAACTCCAGGCCAGTCCCAGAGGTCGGGTCCGAGTACCTTTGCAATGGCTCGCAAAAACAACGATTCTCAATATATACCCACCCATATTCCTTCAAAACTTCACGATTCCGTAAACGTCAAATGTTTCCAGGACTAGTTCTGCTCTATTGGAAAATGAGAAATCTAATACAAAACTCCAGGCCAGTCCCAGAGGTTGGGTCCGAGTACCTTTGCAATGGCTCGCAAAAACAACGATTCTCAATATATACCCACCCATATTCCTTCAAAACTTCACGATTCCGGAAACGTCAAATGTTTCCAGGACTAGTTCTGCTCTATTGGAAAGTGAGAAATCTAATACAAAACTCCAGGCCAGTCCCAGAGGTTGGGTCCGAGTACCTTTGCAATGGCTCGCAAAAACAACGATTCTCAATATATACCCACCCATATTCCTTCAAAACTTCACGATTCCGGAAACGTCAAATGTTTCCAGGACTAGTTCTGCTCTATTGGAAAGTGAGAAATCTAATACAAAACTCCAGGCCAGTCCCAGAGGTTGGGTCCGAGTACCTTTGCAATGGCTCGCAAAAACAACGATTCTCAATATATACCCACCCATATTCCTTCAAAAATTCACGATTCCGGGAACGTCAAATGTTTCCAGGACTAGTACTGCTCTATTGGAAAGTGAGAAATCTAATACAAAACTCCAGGCCAGTCCTAGAGGTCGGGTCCGAGTACCTTTGCAATGGCTCGCAAAAACAACGATTCTCAATATATACCCACCCATATTCCTTCAAAAATTCACGATTCCGGAAACGTCAAATGCTTCCAGGACTAGTACTGCTCTATTGGAAAGTGAGAAATCTAATACAAAACTCCAGGCCAGTCCTAGAGGTCGGGTCCGAGTACCTTTGCAATGGCTCGCAAAAACAACGATTCTCAATATATACCCACCCATATTCCTTCAAAAATTCATGATTCCGGAAACGTCAAATGCTTCCAGGACTAGTACTGCTCTACTGGAAAGTGAGAAATCTAATACAAAACTCCAGGCCAGTCCTAGAGGTCGGGTCCGAGTACCTTTGCAATGGCTCGCAAAAACAACGATTCTCAATATATACCCACCCATATTCCTTCAAAAATTCACGATTCCGGAAACGTCAAATGCTTCCAGGACTAGTACTGCTCTATTGGAAAGTGAGAAATCTAATACAAAACTCCAGGCCAGTCCTAGAGGTCGGGACCGAGTACCTTTGCAATGGCTCGCAAAAACAACGATTCTCAATAAATACCCACCCATATTCCTTCAAAAATTCATGATTCCGGAAACGTCAAATGCTTCCAGGACTAGTACTGCTCTACTGGAAAGTGAGAAATCTAATACAAAACTCCAGGCCAGTCCCAGAGGTCGGGTCCGAGTACCTTTGCAATGGCTCGCAAAAACAACGATTCTCAATATATACCCACCCATATTCCTTCAAAACTTCACGATTCCGTAAACGTCAAATGTTTCCAGGACTAGTTCTGCTCTATTGGAAAATGAGAAATCTAATACAAAACTCCAGGCCAGTCCCAGAGGTTGGGTCCGAGTACCTTTGCAATGGCTCGCAAAAACAACGATTCTCAATATATACCCACCCATATTCCTTCAAAACTTCACGATTCCGTAAACGTCAAATGTTTCCAGGACTAGTTCTGCTCTATTGGAAAATGAGAAATCTAATACAAAACTCCAGGCCAGTCCCAGAGGTTGGGTCCGAGTACCTTTGCAATGGCTCGCAAAAACAACGATTCTCAATATATACCCACCCATATTCCTTCAAAACTTCACGATTCCGGAAACGTCAAATGTTTCCAGGACTAGTTCTGCTCTATTGGAAAGTGAGAAATCTAATACAAAACTCCAGGCCAGTCCCAGAGGTTGGGTCCGAGTACCTTTGCAATGGCTCGCAAAAACAACGATTCTCAATATATACCCACCCATATTCCTTCAAAAATTCACGATTCCGGGAACGTCAAATGTTTCCAGGACTAGTACTGCTCTATTGGAAAGTGAGAAATCTAATACAAAACTCCAGGCCAGTCCTAGAGGTCGGGTCCGAGTACCTTTGCAATGGCTCGCAAAAACAACGATTCTCAATATATACCCACCCATATTCCTTCAAAAATTCACGATTCCGGAAACGTCAAATGCTTCCAGGACTAGTACTGCTCTATTGGAAAGTGAGAAATCTAATACAAAACTCCAGGCCAGTCCTAGAGGTCGGGTCCGAGTACCTTTGCAATGGCTCGCAAAAACAACGATTCTCAATATATACCCACCCATATTCCTTCAAAAATTCATGATTCCGGAAACGTCAAATGCTTCCAGGACTAGTACTGCTCTACTGGAAAGTGAGAAATCTAATACAAAACTCCAGGCCAGTCCTAGAGGTCGGGTCCGAGTACCTTTGCAATGGCTCGCAAAAACAACGATTCTCAATATATACCCACCCATATTCCTTCAAAAATTCACGATTCCGGAAACGTCAAATGCTTCCAGGACTAGTACTGCTCTATTGGAAAGTGAGAAATCTAATACAAAACTCCAGGCCAGTCCTAGAGGTCGGGACCGAGTACCTTTGCAATGGCTCGCAAAAACAACGATTCTCAATAAATACCCACCCATATTCCTTCAAAAATTCATGATTCCGGAAACGTCAAATGCTTCCAGGACTAGTACTGCTCTACTGGAAAGTGAGAAATCTAATACAAAACTCCAGGCCAGTCCCAGAGGTCGGGTCCGAGTACCTTTGCAATGGCTCGCAAAAACAACGATTCTCAATATATACCCACCCATATTCCTTCAAAACTTCACGATTCCGTAAACGTCAAATGTTTCCAGGACTAGTTCTGCTCTATTGGAAAATGAGAAATCTAATACAAAACTCCAGGCCAGTCCCAGAGGTTGGGTCCGAGTACCTTTGCAATGGCTCGCAAAAACAACGATTCTCAATATATACCCACCCATATTCCTTCAAAACTTCACGATTCCGGAAACGTCAAATGTTTCCAGGACTAGTTCTGCTCTATTGGAAAGTGAGAAATCTAATACAAAACTCCAGGCCAGTCCCAGAGGTTGGGTCCGAGTACCTTTGCAATGGCTCGCAAAAACAACGATTCTCAATATATACCTACCCATATTCCTTCAAAAATCCACAATTCCGGAAACGTCAAATGTTTCCAGTACTAGTACTGCTCTATTGGAAAGTGAGAAATCTAATACAAAACTCCAGGCCAGTCCTAGAGGTCGGGTCCGAGTACCTTTGCAATGGCTCGCAAAAACAACGATTCTCAATATATACCCACCCATATTCCTTCAAAACTTCACGATTCCGTAAACGTCAAATGTTTCCAGGACTAGTTCTGCTCTATTGGAAAATGAGAAATCTAATACAAAACTCCAGGCCAGTCCCAGAGGTTGGGTCCGAGTACCTTTGCAATGGCTCGCAAAAACAACGATTCTCAATATATACCCACCCATATTCCTTCAAAACTTCACGATTCCGGAAACGTCAAATGTTTCCAGGACTAATTCTGCTCTATTGGAAAGTGAGAAATCTAATACAAAACTCCAGGCCAGTCCCAGAGGTTGGGTCCGAGTACCTTTGCAATGGCTCGCAAAAACAACGATTCTCAATATATACCCACCCATATTCCTTCAAAAATTCACGATTCCGGGAACGTCAAATGTTTCCAGGACTAGTACTGCTCTATTGGAAAGTGAGAAATCTAATACAAAACTCCAGGCCAGTCCTAGAGGTCGGGTCCGAGTACCCTTGCAGGCTCGCAAAAACAACGATTCTCAAAATATACCCACCCATATTCCTTCAAAAATTCACAATTCCGGAAACGTCAAATGTTTCCAGTACTAGTACTGCTCTATTGGAAAGTGAGAAATCTAATACAAAACTCCAGGCCAGTCCTAGAGGTCGGGTCCGAGTACCTTTGCAATGGCTCGCAAAAACAACGATTCTCAATATATACCCACCCATATTCCTTCAAAAATTCATGATTCCGGAAACGTCAAATGCTTCCAGGACTAGTACTGCTCTACTGGAAAGTGAGAAATCTAATACAAAACTCCAGGCCAGTCCTAGAGGTCGGGTCCGAGTACCTTTGCAATGGCTCGCAAAAACAACGATTCTCAATATATACCCACCCATATTCCTTCAAAAATTCACGATTCCGGAAACGTCAAATGCTTCCAGGACTAGTACTGCTCTATTGGAAAGTGAGAAATCTAATACAAAACTCCAGGCCAGTCCTAGAGGTCGGGACCGAGTACCTTTGCAATGGCTCGCAAAAACAACGATTCTCAATAAATACCCACCCATATTCCTTCAAAAATTCATGATTCCGGAAACGTCAAATGCTTCCAGGACTAGTACTGCTCTACTGGAAAGTGAGAAATCTAATACAAAACTCCAGGCCAGTCCCAGAGGTCGGGTCCGAGTACCTTTGCAATGGCTCGCAAAAACAACGATTCTCAATATATACCCACCCATATTCCTTCAAAACTTCACGATTCCGTAAACGTCAAATGTTTCCAGGACTAGTTCTGCTCTATTGGAAAATGAGAAATCTAATACAAAACTCCAGGCCAGTCCCAGAGGTTGGGTCCGAGTACCTTTGCAATGGCTCGCAAAAACAACGATTCTCAATATATACCCACCCATATTCCTTCAAAACTTCACGATTCCGGAAACGTCAAATGTTTCCAGGACTAGTTCTGCTCTATTGGAAAGTGAGAAATCTAACACAAAACTCCAGGCCAGTCCCAGAGGTTGGGTCCGAGTACCTTTGCAATGGCTCGCAAAAACAACGATTCTCAATATATACCTACCCATATTCCTTCAAAAATCCACAATTCCGGAAACGTCAAATGTTTCCAGTACTAGTACTGCTCTATTGGAAAGTGAGAAATCTAATACAAAACTCCAGTCCAGTCCTAGAGGTCGGGTCCGAGTACCTTTGCAATGGCTCGCAAAAACAACGATTCTCAATATATACCCACCCATATTCCTTCAAAACTTCACGATTCCGTAAACGTCAAATGTTTCCAGGACTAGTTCTGCTCTATTGGAAAATGAGAAATCTAATACAAAACTCCAGGCCAGTCCCAGAGGTTGGGTCCGAGTACCTTTGCAATGGCTCGCAAAAACAACGATTCTCAATATATACCCACCCATATTCCTTCAAAACTTCACGATTCCGGAAACGTCAAATGTTTCCAGGACTAATTCTGCTCTATTGGAAAGTGAGAAATCTAATACAAAACTCCAGGCCAGTCTCAGAGGTTGGGTCCGAGTACCTTTGCAATGGCTCGCAAAAACAACGATTCTCAATATATACCCACCCATATTCCTTCAAAAATTCACGATTCCGGGAACGTCAAATGTTTCCAGGACTAGTACTGCTCTATTGGAAAGTGAGAAATCTAATACAAAACTCCAGGCCAGTCCTAGAGGTCGGGTCCGAGTACCCTTGCAGGCTCGCAAAAACAACGATTCTCAAAATATACCCACCCATATTCCTTCAAAAATTCACAATTCCGGAAACGTCAAATGTTTCCAGTACTAGTACTGCTCTATTGGAAAGTGAGAAATCTAATACAAAACTCCAGGCCAGTCCTAGAGGTCGGGTCCGAGTACCTTTGCAATGGCTCGCAAAAGCAACGATTCTCAATATATACCCACCCATATTCCTTCAAAAATTCACGATTCCGGAAACGTCAAATGCTTCCAGGACTAGTACTGCTCTATTGGAAAGTGAGAAATCTAATACAAAACTCCAGGCCAGTCCTAGAGGTCGGGTCCGAGTACCCTTGCAGGCTCGCAAAAACAACGATTCTCAAAATATACCCACCCATATTCCTTCAAAAATTCACAATTCCGGAAACGTCAAATGTTTCCAGGACTAATTCTGCTCTATTGGAAAGTGAGAAATCTAATACAAAACTCCAGGCCAGTCCCAGAGGTTGGGTCCGAGTACCTTTGCAATGGCTCGCAAAAACAACGATTCTCAATATATACCCACCCATATTCCTTCAAAAATTCACGATTCCGGGAACGTCAAATGTTTCCAGGACTAGTACTGCTCTATTGGAAAGTGAGAAATCTAATACAAAACTCCAGGCCAGTCCTAGAGGTCGGGTCCGAGTACCCTTGCAGGCTCGCAAAAACAACGATTCTCAAAATATACCCACCCATATTCCTTCAAAAATTCACAATTCCGGAAACGTCAAATGTTTCCAGTACTAGTACTGCTCTATTGGAAAGTGAGAAATCTAATACAAAACTCCAGGCCAGTCCTAGAGGTCGGGTCCGAGTACCTTTGCAATGGCTCGCAAAAACAACGATTCTCAATATATACCCACCCATATTCCTTCAAAAATTCACGATTCCGGAAACGTCAAATGCTTCCAGGACTAGTACTGCTCTATTGGAAAGTGAGAAAT